TTCTCCCTTGTTTACAATGTGATCGTTTCAGCAGAGGAAATGTTAGCCCGATTTCCGGTCTCGTTTCATTTGGATGGCGATCCTATTTACTAGAGTGTGAACCAAGTTAAAAAGATTTGACATAAAATTTACGTGAAACACTATTGAAGAAAATACTTCATTTTGGTATTGTATATCAGATTTTCAGTTGTGTAAATAAAGACTGGAGTACCTATCGTATATCAGTTGGATTGCGGTAGATATCTTTATAATGTAAAATGACTTCCCCTTTCAAAGAATTCTCCTTTGGATGTGTATTTGGGTTTCAGCGGATTTTGGGGGCAGACAATTAAATGGTGTATTTGTATTACAAAGTTGGTTACTTGGATGTTGCAAGCTTCTCATCGAAGACAGTGTTTAGGACTTTTCAGTCCCTTCTCATGTTCAAAAATGAAGCAAGAGAAAGTCCCATGACGGTTCGCTATTGGACTTGTGTTCTCCTGGCATTTTTTTTTAACCCACATGGGCAACACTCCATGAGAATTAAACTTGTGCTTTATCCTATGTTTACTGTAATGGGATACTAATTATTGATAATAAAGTAAACTCATACATATTGTGTGGGGTTTGCATGTTTATCATAAACGTATTGTAAGAATGGAAAACCTTAAATTTTCTCTAATGTACTCTTGCCCCCCACCAGCTGAGGCCCCAAGCACCACTGCAAAGCGGGTGTCCGCCCCCAAGTCATGGCTCCGGACAAGTTGGGAGGTTGTCTTTGCCCCCAGACCCTCCACTGGCCCTCACAAGAGGCGTGGTGCCTTCCCTGTCATCATGCTACGTAAACCGACTTCAAGTACGCACTCACCAACGATAGGTCAAAGGAAGATCACCATGCAGAGGGCTTATCAGTGTTAGATAGGCCAAGATCCGCACGGACAAGAACTACCCACTGGGTTCATGGAGTGTGTATTCTAAAGCATTGTGGTATGTATTCATATAGGACAACATCCTCAAGAAAGCAAGGGTTAACTTGCTGGGTAGCAGTGGAACGTTGTTAAGATTAATCAGCTGGGCAACATGAAGAGAGGGGTGGGGGGGAGGGCTGTTAGTCTACCAATGCATGCTAGGTTTTAAAGAAATTTACATACTCATGAAATGGTCTCAATTATCCATATGCAGGTTAAAAAAAAAATGGCACGGTCGTTGGCTTGCATATTATGCAAGTAAGATTGATATAGATTTGACTGAATTTTTCCAAATCCACTTTGGTTTGCAAGTTAAAAAGTATCACACTGGTCCTAGGGAAATCTAGCAATTGGAGGGGACCAATTATAATTTACAAGTTTTCATGTACATATAAATAGTAAATGGTTTACAGTTTGGGGTTTTAAAGGTAAGTTGTCAGTATTTAGGAATTTCATTAACATTATGTACCCCCCAGTAAGTGAGTGCACTTTTGTCGTGTATGACTAGATTAAGACGGTAGATGAGCATGTGTTGGGTATTGTCACCAAGGTGTATAGTTTAAGGTCAATTACATCAAAAATATTGGTATTTGTAAGAGTGTCGCACTCACCAAAGATCTCTAACAACCAGGCATCATGCTAATCCAAAAAATGCCAAAACCTAAGGTTTCCTACCTCCTGTTTATTGCCTTAATCCATCAGGTATATAGAAATCTCATGGCATCATGCTCTGGTTTTGGCTGTAGCCAAACGTCTGCTGAATGGGCTTATAGCATTTAGCACTCGTATGGCTGTACCTTGCAGATCAAGCGTTATTTTATGAGGCTTTAACAAGGAACGGCTGAACTTCAATTTATAGGGTGGCAATCCCCATGTACCCCCATTTATTAGTATTTCATTCACAAATCATTAAAGGCGACATTAAAAACTTTGGGCGTCACTCGGTATCATTACCAGAAATGCTGTATTAGATATGAGGAGAAATGTAGGATAGACATGCTTCTATCGAAGGCATACATGAAAGTCCCAAGTCTTCTGTGGGTCAAAAAATGAAGCGAGGAGAACTACCCTGACGGTCGCTGATAGTGACTACACATAGCCTTTCCAGCATTACCCAAACAATGGTACACTTCAATTTTTTCATTTATAACTAGCGTAGGATATAACTTAGTGTTTTGTTTTAAAGAAACCTATTTTTTAATGTGGTGTCCAGTAGGGAGTAATCTTTAAGGCTGTGCTGAAACCATTATTTTGTTGCAGATGGGTGAGGAATCAAGAAGACTGGGGAACACTTCCGTATCCTTTATGACGTTAAGGGTCGTTTCATTGCTCACGCATATCACTGATGAGGAAAGCCAGGATAAGAAATGCAAACTTTAGTTTTGATAGGTTACCATAAAGATGTTGAAGAATGGCTTGTTCTAGTAGTGATGTGATTGGATTTCCAATGTGAGTTACTTAACCTGCTGGCGTTTTAGCTTAGTTGTCTGGAGGAACACTTAGGGTAGTGACCCTGGCAGCTTCTGATAAGGCACAGGATTGAAGATGACCAGGCCAATAGTCTCCGAGCTGAGGACTCCACCCCCCCCACCCCCCCCCCACCCACATACACACAGTAGGGGACTACAAATGTAATATATTCATTTCTCCCATCCTTTTGAATCCCTATGTTGAATTGGCATAAGTATATAAGGTCTGACTGAAAAAAGGAATTTAATGTTCGATAATGTTGTGTTATGCTCAGTCGACCACAATTTGGAAAGGTTTTTGAGGAATATTGTGCGTCTTGTTCATGCCTCCATATATTCTTAAATGTCATATTTACAAACTATTAACAGCACTAAAAGAGGCAACATTACTGCACCAACTCATATTTAATGTAGGGCTTACAGCCAGTTTTAACCTTTATTAATCTATATTCTTCTTCCCACCCAAGAACAAGAGGGCAGGCAGATTGTTTATTTTTTCATCTGGTGCCAATGCCTATGCAACTGGTGCAGTTCAACATAATTGCTGATGGGTAATCAGAAATCTCTAGGTATCAATAAAGTCAGGATGATTTCTGGTCATTGTCCAGCCGCTGGGGTATAGCTTTACTGCAGGACCATGTGGTTTGACTTGACTTGTCCGTCAAGGGTTAAATGATGAAATGTACATTTTTTAGTATTGTATAGTAGTGAAAATGAAGATAATGAAGAATAAAATGACTAAGTGCTTTGTATGCTTAAACAAAGAAGCAAGAGGAATTGTTGAGGCCTGAGGGCTAAACAATCCCTTTCAAGCATCACACCAACATGGTGGACACTAAAAAAGTGTGCTCTTGATAATATTGTGTATAGAACAGGTGTCCAAGTATGGGTACTAGGTAAACTTTCTTTATGGAATTTGAGCTTCATTATTTTTAGAAATTGAACATCCATGAAACTAACATCACTCCCTTTTTCTTTCAGTAACAAGCTGTGCCAGGTTACAAAGGTTTGTGTTGGCCCCAAGAAAGGCTCCCTTACCTGACGACCTCGGATGGCCGCACCCTGCGCACCCTGACCCCATCATTAATATCAATGACTCCATCCTCTTGGATCTTGAGAAGAAGAAGATGAAGGATTTGATCAAGTTTGATACAGGTATTGACCATGTATCTGTGCTAAGACATCTTGTAATTGTTCAAACATCTGCAGCAGAGAAAAAAGATCTAGACCCTTTACCAGCAAGCCCACTAAAGCTGCTGATAGAAAGGAGTATTTATCGGATATTGTGGTCTTATTTCTGTCTTTCACTTGCGATTTTCTTTAAAGAATTCACCTGGCGGAGAAAATAGATTACAATGTTTACATTTTGCCACAGCGTAAATTGTATAAATGGAAACTCTTTCTTGAGATTATATTGCTGATGTGTGTGTTAATCTCTTGCAATCGAGCCAAAGTATGGCTGCTATGCATGCATACTATTGCGAAGTTTGATATCAGTTATTTGACCCATACATAGTCTCAAGGCTTGATAAATGAGTAGCAAGCTGGCTCTATAGTATCCATGTAATTTTAAGCTAAGGCCAAAAACACAACCACTTAATGTTCCCTATAACCCGAGTGCCATGGGTTAACTTTCATCTGCCACACTCTAGAATTAAGATATTGGTAAAATTGTAGAAAAATGGTGTTCTTTTGAAAGATTTTTTTTTTTTTTGGGGGGGGGGGGAACTTTAGCAAATCAAAGGGGAAAAGAAAAATGTTAAATGAAAGTACATGCATAAAACAAATCTTGTGAGCGAACTTTATAATAAAGCTTCACATCGAAGCCACCCTTGGCCCACTCCTGAAGTATTGGGTGGTCAAAAAAAAAAGAAGCAAGATAAAAAAAACCATGACGCGTCGCTGGGAGAAGTTGTAGGTACTGTTTCAGCACTACCCAACATGGCAAACATAATTTTGGTACTTTATCTTTATTAATTGAGTACAATCAAACTAGGATTTTGACTATACAGTATATTACTGTGAACTTTTCAATGCATTAATGAAGTGCCTATTTTTTCAGGCAACCTCCTCTGATGATCACAATCTATGGTTGTAACATGGGTCGTGTGGCGCACCATTGTGTCCCAAGGGAGCGTCATGCTGGGTAGCTTCGATATGTTCATGTTAAGGATTCTGTTGGCCACACCTTCGCCACCAGGTAAGAATTGCTTTTCTGTATTTTTACCAATTAGTATAAAATATTTTAATGGATAGGCTTTGATAAGGTCGAGTTTCTGAATGAAAATTCAGATCAGAAATTTGATAGGAAGGATTGTGAAGTGATTTCCTAACCCATGTATATTTGTGGAGTCAGTTCTATGGATTTGAAACATTTGAAACCACCTAGTTGCAAAAAGTTTGAATTCAGTGTTTAGAATTATAGAAGAAAATTAATAAAAGGAATAGTGTGTGTGTGTGTGTGTATGTATATGTGTGGTGTGTGTGTATGTATATGTGTGATGTGTGTGGATGTATATGTGTGGTGAGTGTGTATGATATATGTGTGTGTGTGTTGTGTGGTATGTATATGTGTGTGTGGTGTGTGTTGTATGTATATGTGTGTTGTGTGTGTGTGTTGTATGTGTGTGTGGGTGTGTATGTTATATGTGTTGTGTGTGTGTGTGTGTGTGTGTGTGTGTATATGTGTGTGTGTGTGTGTGTGTGATATGTGTGGGTTGGTTTGTGGGGGGTTTGTTTTTTGTGATGTGTGGTGTGTGTGTGTTGTGGTGTGTGTGTGTGTGTGTGTGTATATGTGTGTGGTGTGTGTGTATATGTGTGTGTGTGTGTGTGTGTGGTGTGTTGATGTGTGTGTGTGTATATGTGGGCTGTGTGTGTGTGTGGTTGTGCTGTGTGTGTGGGTGTGTAGTACCCTGTGTGTGTGTGTGTATATGTTGTGCGTGTGTGTGTGTGTATATGTGTGTGTGTTGTGTGTGTGTGTATATGTGTGGTGTGTGTGTGTGTTATATGTGTGTGTGTGTTGGTGTGTGGGTGTGTATATGTGTGTGTGTGTGTGTGTGTTGTATATGTGGTGTGTGTTGTTTTTTTGGTTGGGTGGTGTATATGTGTGTGTGTGTGTGTGTGGTTATATGTGTGGGTGTGTGTGTGTTGTATATGTGTGTGTGTGTGCTGGTGTGTGTATATGTTGTGTGTGGTGTGTGTGTGTATATGTGTGTGTGTGTGTGTGTGTGTTAGATTGTGTGTGTGTGTTGTGTGTATATGTGTGGTGTGTGTGTGTGTGTGTATATGTGTGTGTGTGGGGCGTTTGTGTGTGTATATGGTGTGTGGTGTAGTGTGGTATGGTGTGTGTGTGTGTGTGTGAAAGAAAAAGTGCTACTTAACACAAGTTGAATCCAGCTTCACATCGAAGCCACCCTTGCACTCCTGAGTCTTGGGTGGTCAAAAAAGAAGCGAGAGAAACAAAACCCATTGACGGTTCGCTGGCAGGGTTTTAGTATTCTTTCAGCATTACCAACATGGTGACATGCACTTGGTATTGAATTTAGTAGTTATAAATGTGTATGAGCTGGTTTAAAAGGTCTGCAGTCTGATTGAAGGCTATATGCATAGTATTAAAGATTAAATTTGTTTATTAATGAAGGGATTTATTCAGGATTTGCATTTTAAGTACATTGGGTAAAAACTACAAATTTGATCTTTGGTAATTTTTTTTGAATTATAGCCTCAATTTCAGTAATCTGTGGATGGTTTGCCACTGTTGTGCTCATTCTTAATAACCTCAATACCTGCTATAATATTTTCTGTTTGAGAAAGTTAACATTAATTGTTCTTTTCAGGAAAAGTAAATGCAGGAAAGGCAAAAGCCTAAGTCTCCTCCGTCCAGTAAATTTCAATCATAATTCCTCTTCAGGTTGAACAACGTGTTCGTGATCTGCCAAGTCAACAAGGCATACATCTCCCCTTTACAAGAGGCAAGGGTGTGAAGCTCAGCATTTGCTGAGGAGCGCGGACCGCAGCTGGCCAGAAGATTAAACTAAATAAAAAAAATTCTAAGTGAAAAACTGATCTTTTCTTGTCCTTTTGGAAAGTCGCTTTTAAAAAAACAAATGTACTGAGAATGAGGACTAATTTTAATTTGTAGATTATTGTCAGTAGGTACTTACTGTGAATCTTTGGAAATCTTGTTCCTTCAAGACAAAGGCTAACTTGTACATAACATAAGTTACATACTATTGGGTAATTTAAATCTTATACAATTTTCTGTACTAGTACACACCCAGTACATCATTAAACCGATTGTCATGGGCGGGCAATAAATGTGGATATCTATGGCCTTGTTTAAGAAGTTCCAGAAGTAAATAGTAATGGAGTAGATTTGGTTGGAGATGAAAGGTGTCAAAAATTTAGTAAAACAATATCTGAAAGGTCTTACACCAATTTTTCATACTAGATTAACTTAATAATTATGATATAGTTAATTGATTCCATTTTATTAGAATGGATATTCTTGAGTGTGACACTGTCCTTTTATTTGCCTTCTATATTATCCTTTATCAAGAAGCGCCAAGGTTACCATCCACTAGTGAGCTCTTCTTCGTAAATGGAGGTACTTTTATTCTGTTCACTAAGTCTGATAGCTGGCTGTGAACACCAAGCTTTCTGTGGCGGTTGGATGTGAGCCGGCAAGAATTGTGCATGGAATGAGGGTCCCTGATACCAAATAATGAGAGGGGACCTATTGAGGGAAAATCGGCTGCTCACTTGCCGATTAGAGGCTTTGCAACCTGGCAGTGAGGCTCAGATGACATCAACAACTTTATGATATAATGGTAATATTGTTGATTACATAGCAGAAAATATCCAACCTAACTTTTACTCTACTCTACAACTGTCGCCCTTGGCCTTAAGAAA